CAACAATGGTATCCATTATTCCACATTCTCTTCTGAACCTGGCCTGGGCCTCTGACAGGTTTGTGTACTGCTGTAATCTTTATTGGATGATCTCCATCAAAATTTTACTTATATGTGATATCAATGAGATAATGCTATAATTTGAGAATTCTGTTGGGTCATTTTTCTTTGGAATGAGCACAAATACGGATCTATTCCAATTGGTTGGCCAAGTAGCTGCCTTCCAAATTTCCTGACATAGACAGGTGACTGCGTCCAGTGCTACATCAATTTTCTGAAACATTTCAGTGGTTACTTCATCAATTCCTGGAGCCTTGTTTTTCGCTAATGCATTCAGTTCAGTTGAGCTTCTTCCTTCAGCACCATTAGTTCTTGATCATATGCTACCTCCTGAAATGATGGAATGTCAAATTGTATTTTTGGTACAGAGCCTGTGTATTATTTCCATCTTCTTTTGAGGTTTCCTGCATTTATTCAATATCTTGTCCGTAGAGTCTTTCAAGATTGCAACTTGAGGCTTGGATTTTTCCTTGATTTCTTTCAGTTTATCGGTATGTTAGAGTGGATTTATCAATATAAAACCATAGACCCACAAAGGGAGTGTCCCAGCCCATGGTAGCATTGAAACTTGGCTCCTAACCTTTAGGGCTCACTCAGCCCCATTACAGGCAAGTGTCTTAATTCATTTAGTGAAGTTCCCACTGTGAAGCCTGGCTGATGTAAAATATCGATCACAGGAGTCTTCAGAGATGCTGGGGCTCCCTTCACAAATTTGTTTCTTGCAGTTTGGGTAAAGATGTGGGCTGGGGCACTCCCTTTGTGGGTCTATGGTTTTATCTTGATAAATCCACTCTAACATACCGATAAACTGAAAGAAATCAAGGAGGTCAGGAGTATTCTGGCAATAATTCTTCCAAGACAGATTTGTTCTTTTGGCAGTCCTGGGAAGTGTCACTGATCACCTTCCCAGCCAAGATTATGCCCCTTAGTTGCTGTTCTACCTTCACTAACATTCTCTATTTTACTTCTCTACTTGATCTCTCTGGGTTCTAACACCCAATTGCAATGGCTATGCAGAAAGCCAGAGACAAAATCCATGATTAAAGGGTTTATTAGGGATGTTAATGAATAGTAATGCCAGTGAGAAATGCTCAGGTTAGTTGTTTGCCAAGACATGTTACAAAGCTTCAGGTCTGCTAAAAAAGGCCCCAAAGGGTATACCACTCTGCTGTAAACCTCAATATGAAGGCATTCAGGTCAAGTTCCATGGGCCAGAAACCAGCTGCCGGAATTAAGTGCCTAGAGAGGCATCCTTCTCTGAAAAGCAGCATCCTGTACATATGCACTCAACTTGCTTTGTGGGTGAGGAAGCACATTATTTGGTTCCATACTTTGGTTCCTGAGTTCTACTGCTGCTCCTCTGATGATATAGCCATCATTTGGATCATCCCAACCACTGCTTCAGGGATCTTGGGTCCAGAGATTGTGCTTTACTCCTGGCTCTTGCTAGTAATAAGATCCCTCCTCCTGCTTCTCAGGGGGATCATTGTATACAAGATAGGGTAGAACTGCAGTGAAGCCTACTTGAAAAAAAATTTTTTTGAAATCATTTTAGTGGGGGCTCTTACAGCTCTTATCACAATTGATACATCCATCCATTGTGTCAACATCTGTACATATGATGATGTTGCCATCATCATTTTCAAACATTTTCTTTCTATTTGAGCCCTTGGTATCGCCTCGTGTTTTCCCCCTCCCCCAACCTCCCTCC